TGGTTGAGGTATGCTTTAAGTCTTTTAATATAAATTCACACGCTTTGTGTTTAACCAAGGAAGAAAGAGCTGGACAAATTCCCTCACGCAGGTCAACAACAGGGCAGGATAACTGGTTTCGCATTCAGGTCTAATTTACCGCAGGGACATCTTAGCACAGAAATAAACCTTTTTATAAATTTTTTTTTTTTTTAGGCGAGGCCTCATAGATCGCAAAGACCTTGTCGGCTTACGATCCCTTATTTTTTTTTTAATTTTTATTTTTTACACCTACAGCATCTGATCTTCCTAGGTGGTCTCCCATCCAAACAGTAACCAGGCCCGACCCTGCTTAGCTTCCGAGATCAGACGGAAAACGTAAACCGTTTTAACGGTTGCTACCAAACGCATGCTGAGTATTCACAGGAAGGACGGTAAATTCTTTCTCAGGTTGTATCATCTGAAATTTTGTTAGCTTCCGAATAAGGCTATTTCCGACTGCTTCAAAAGGCAAATGAAGGAGACACAAAGGCAAAGACATTGGACTGGTAAAACGCATTTAGAGGCCCACACAAGATCACTTACACACACCTACAGACGCAGAGGCCACAAAGCCGTGCCCACCTGACCGGAAAGGGCCGGCCCACGTTCCGGGGCATCCGACCGAGGAACCAGCGACGCCCTTGTACTTCCCGAACTTCTCTGTAAGAGAGTAGAAATGATGGGACACGAGCCGACTGGAGCATGTCCCCCAAATAAATTCATGTAGTATGAGGGTGCCACAGGGTTGCTGGAAGGTTTCTCGACTTCACTAACATTTAAAGACGGCTCTCTGCTCGGCAGGAAACGGCAACAGCGGATGAAGACTTGGGACACGCGGGGAGGAAAGTAGGGCCTGATTCGCGTTCCCGTCCCAGTTCGCAAAACAATTCTCAACCGCCCTGGGACCAGGCAGCAGTCACGAGCCCACCCGAGTCTGGGGGTACAGGCCACGCGCTCCCACCACCCCGCCTGGCCCTCGGGCTCCAGACGCCCCGCAAGCGAAACCCGAGGGCCGCGGGCCGAACACGTCTCCCGCCACGGCCGTGACGACGTCAGAGCGAGAACACGACGCAACCTCGCGGGCGGGATGACGTCAGAACAGAAACGTCACAGCCACGCGGACGGGATGACGTCAGAGCAGGAACGTCACGACCTTGAAGGCGGCATGACGTCAGAGCAGGAACACGTCACGGCCTCGCGGGCGGGATGACGTCAGAGCGGGAACACGTGACCACATGGTCGTAGGGATCACGCCCCCAGCCCAGGTCCGGGCAGGGCTGGGGTTCGGGCCGGGGGAGCGGGGCGCCACGGCCAGCCCATGGTGCTCGGGCCCCAATGCGACCTAGCGCCCGCGTCC